ATTATAACTTTTATAACAACTTTTAATATATGTATCTATATACCACAATTTTTAACTTCCCTTTAATTGCTAATTGAATTTAATTACTAATAAAATTTAAGTAAGCTGTCACTGTTAGCAAACATTTATGCTTTTTATTAAGATTTTAATGCTAATATTGTGTTTAATTTGTAAGAAAGGTGGTATCAATAAAATAATCTTTTTTTTTAATATTTTTCTCCTACCTTCCTCCATCTCTTGATCTTGAACTATACAAGCTAATTCTGATTCTCCGTTCATAGGACTAGTATCATTACCATCTCCTCCACCATCATTTGGTGTTTCTAGAAGGTTAAGACATCTATTACTGCAAAATTTTTAAAAGCTGCTTTTTGAAAAAAGCTTTCATAACAATTTTAGCAATAAATTAGACGGATAACATTACATTTTACAATGAATTATGCGCTGTTTTGTATATAATATATAAATTTTTGACAGTATTTTATAAACAGTACCAAAAGAATGTTGTATATTTGAGCTGTTTGAATTGTAGATTATCCACAATACTAATATATAAAAGTAAAAAATTTACTTAATGTTTTATAATAAACTTAAAAAAGTGATTTACAGAAATATCCATGTAGTAATTTATACACATAAAACTTGATGAAAAATGCTGTGTCAAATTCCAGTCATTGTGTCATAATTAGAAAACAAATGAATGTTTTCATCAAATGAAGGTCTGCTTATAACCATATATTTATAAGTTGTTAAAAAGAGTATATATACATTCAGTAACTTAACATTAAGTGTTTAAAGTATTTATATAGATATGCAGAGAAACAAAAAATAACAGTACATTTAAAATATATTTAGAATCTTACTTTTCTTTATCAAGTTAATATAATTTGCGTGATTATATACAACATACATATTATATTGGCGCGCGCGCGCGCATGTGTGTGTGTTACGTATTATACATATATATTAAATACATATCCCATTGCAATATTTTCTATAATGAAAATTTTAATAAACATCAACACATAGATTTTGATTCTTTTTGAACGTATAAACTGCATGACTATGCAACAAACCAATCAAGTAGTATAGAATCAAAACTATCCCAAATGTAGCATAATATAACACAAATTATCGAAATCATATAAATATGTCACATATTTTTAACTCTAAAACCAACATAATTTTTATCTTATATTCTAATTAACGCTATTTTTGACTAAAATACGTACATACGTAAAGAAAGTTCACTGTAAAATGTTCGTATCAACGTATAAAGTTCGAAATAATTTCCCATAACCTTCAAAGCAAAAATCAAAACATATAAAACTAATAGAAAAAACTAGAAAAATTTCAATGAAATGAAACAGATGAGGGTAACCCGTACCTCCTTCTTGTGTATCCATTTCTTCGACTTCATTGACCTGAACCGGTGCCAGGTTGAGCTGTTTAAGATTTTCCTGATCGTTAACGTGGTTCATCGCAATGCCGATATTGATGGTCGTCTTGATTGCGCCGGGAACCTCGGAGGCGGCTTCCGCCGTCGAGGTTACTTCTGAAGTTAATTTAACTGATGCAACTGCAGATGAGTTTCGAGTAAAAATGGACTGTTGTCGTTCGACGGGTTGATTATTCTCGTCAGGGACGGAAGATTTTTGCTCGAGCGAATGTTGCTGATTTAGTTGTTCGATTCCAATCGCAACCGGGCTCGCGTCACTACTACGACTCGAGAACGACGTCTTTTTGCCACTCGACGATGGTTGATATTTACTTGCGATGAGACCAATTTCTGCAGCTCTCAAGTGCCCCCGCTTTTTCGGGGGACGCCCACAGCATATATTCCACCCTTGCGAGATATCCTCGTAATTTCTACGTTGTCTCTGCTCTTGTCGCCACTATTTCTCTCCTTATTCTCGAACCTATCTTCCTCGCACTTTTCACTATGTATCACCTCGCTCTTTCTCGACCGATCCGAGGAACGGTTTCCGCACCGCGGGACCGGCGCGCTACTAATCGTCAAACTTACGTACTTCTTGCAAACCACCAATCTACTATATTTCGATCTTACTATTTCATCCAGCCTCTGGCAACGATCACCTTTACAACCAAATCTTTCGTACAGTGTTTCCAGCTTTTTAACCTGATCACTGATACACTCAGCTGATCTTTTCACGGACGAAGCAGGACGATCTGCTTCGATGATAGTCTTTCAGACCTCTTTTACGCGAAAATAAACAAAATGGCGACAAACCACACTGTTCTACTGCCTGCCTGTCTGTTCTGCATACAATTCATACAAGTCACGAAATTTTCAACGTCTTTTAGATAGCACACTCGATGCTACCTTTTGTCCTATCAACGCGGCAAATATAAATAACTACAAACCAGGGTTAGATCAATTACTTACTAAAATCCAGTCTTAGATTCAATTCTATCTGTATTTTTTGAAAAATATTATTCTATACCATTGTTCTTATATTTAAGTTTATAGTTAAGTATAGTAAATGATATATGATATAGTACATTGATACAATAAATTCTAAATAAATTATTATGAAAATAATTCATAGTCGTATGTGCTGTTTTCTGTTTATAATATTATTTATTTAATAAAATAACTCTACCAAAAAATGGATAAATATAGTGAAATATATGTTAAGAATTTCGAAAAGTTATATAATATTCAATCCATATTCAACCGATGATAAAATTTTACTTTATATTTGAAGATGAAGTTCCAGTTTACAAGATACAATGTCTTTTAATAAATTATGATTATACAAATAACTTTAGTAATTTATAATAAAATAAAATAAAATTAGTTATCATCGTCATATGTTACACTTAACAGCTTAACCTACATCTTTGTACTTTATACGACTATGTACATTTATTTATTTAATTATACAACTGCATATAACTAATTAAATCAGTTTTAACAGCTTTACAATAATATTGTTGTCTTTAGATTGACAAACATTTCTTTTCGAAAATGTAACAATTTCATATCATAAATTTTATAGATATAGGTTGGATTTATTTATTGCTGTAATTCAAAAATTACAATATTACAATTTTATATCATTGTATTATATTTTATGTATTGTAATTTAGAAGTACGCACAAGGAAAAGAAGGATACAATAGTATAAATGAAATACTACTGTAAAAAATAATTGAAAGCTACTTGATGTTTTAATAAATATTTCTTTTTATGTTTATATTTTTCACAAACAGCAAAAATAAATAACTTACTAAAATGTTCACTTATATTTATACAAAAGCATGTTAGCACAAATCTCCCATAAATAGTGATGTTCAATAATATGTATATTAAATCATTAGCAAGTTTTATACAATGTTTGCAAATTATTTACAAATGAGGATTCTACAGTTAAAGTTAGTTAATAGTTAATAGAATTGATAAGCATTTTAGTAGATAAACGTTTTACAATATTGATTCAATCAAACTGAATATATTATTTGCTTCTATATAAACAGAAATGTATTTAATACATGCTTTTTTATGTTTTTCAAATTAAATATCTTTCAATATAAAACACTTTGTACACATTGAAGCTTTTGAAACATATTGAACATCAGTCTAATTAAGCATATTAGAATTAATAATCACTTTTTAAGTATTTAATTTATATTAGTGCTGCTTTTTGTCTTCCTAGATCATTTTGCAGTTAACGTTTATTTCCTGGTTAATGTTAATCCGTTATTATGAGTATATGTATGTTCTTAAATATATAATATTTATATGATGTATTACACAAATCAAATTCTTATATTAATATATTATTGTTGTACATTATTGTTTAGTATGAGTAATTAAATATATGATACTTGCAATATATATAAAACAAAATGATCACAGTTATATGATAATTATAATCCACTTTTAATAAATATTTAATTACTAATAAAATATGATCATTTGTGTAATAATAATAATAGTTATGCTATGTTGTATATGGAAAATAGTTACTACCTTACAAGCACCAAATTTTGGATATTTTTTTATTATAAATATCCATTAATTGTTAATTGAAAGTATTATTCCAAAGATGATATATTATTGTATTACAGCAAGATAAATAATATATCTATACCACTGCTCATCTAAATTTAATTAAATAAAGCACTTCCATAGTTATTTAAAAGTTAAAATATTAAACTATTTTATTTGACGCAGAAAAATACACAACAATATCATACAAAAAATGTATATAAAAAAATTTAGTTTGTTTTGAAGAAAAATAATATCAAATGGTTTCAGAAAACATTAATTGCAATTGTTTATATTTTTTCATACACTATAGCATAATATTTTAAATTCATTGAACCATTCATTAAAAAATAATTTATAATATTATATTCAGTAATAATACTGATGAAATTTTTGTTGTTGTCTTATATAATAAGATAACGACTTTGAATTTTCATATAATAATTATTATCAGCATTTTTAAATATTTACAATAAAAGTAGATATAAGTGGTGGTAATTACATATAAGCAAAAACAAACTTTTTAAAAGTTTAACTATGTAATAGGATTTACTTAATGCGTTTCAATTATTCAAGAATGAATAATTTGAATATCTTCAAATTTGTTTAAGATGAATACTGTTGAATATAATAAGCAAACTATAAAATTATTATAGTCATAATAAATATAAAACCATAAACAAAATAACTTATACATGTTTTAATATTATTATTACATTTTGGAGTGTGTAATTTAACATATTTTAGGCCTTACATATTTTTTATGTAAATTATTTAAGTGGAAAATATATTGCAATATGTAATTTTTTATAATGAAAATCACTGTTGAATATTCTTATGATATTCTAGAAATAAAATGCAGTGATGAAATAAAATTATGAATTATGAAATAACATATTATAATTTATACATAGAGAACCTGTAAAAACTATTTGTCTTTTATAAATATTTTAAATTTCCAAATAATGAAGCATCTTTTATTCTTCTTTTTTTTATATTTTTTAGAAATGGCACATATATCTATAATATCTAGCATTTTCATTGCTAGTTATAGGAATGGGAAGTCTACTTTATTTTGACTAGACATTACAAAGTACACATTGTACAGTAACTTGTCCTATAAACTGCACTAAAAAACGGTATTTGATATTCATATAAAAAAGTTATGAACAGTTACAAATTTATCATATATATAGAGCATACAAAAAAAGAAGTGATATTAATTGTAAGAATTGCAATAACTATGATTTCACATTTTGGCATTAAAAAATTAGAATAAATAGAAATATAATGCTCATGTTATATAAATTTCTTAATATGAAATATTTTTTCCAATGAAATTTATATTATCTATGTTTATTGGATTGAACATACTTTTGAAGTTCCATGAGATTCATCCATAGCAGCTGCTCGCCTTTTTATGCCTTCTAGATATATTTCACGATTAAACAAACCTCCACCAAGAGGAATACTGTAATAGATGTTAATTAAAGAATATGATGTGTTTTATATAATAAATTATACAATATGAATGGTACATACGTGTCAATACCAGGTCTTATGGTTGTTTTAAAAACACCCCATACAGGTTTATGATCTGAGGTACAAATGCTGGGTACAGAGTCATAAATCAAACATTCTATAACTCCATCTTTATATGAATTAGAACTTTCATAACTAACTCTTCTGATGTAGCCTCTTGTATGTCCTTTTCCTTTAAAGAGAATTCTATCAGTATATGCAGGTGTGCGTTGTTTACTACTTGAGTCAAAATTTTGTGTTCCAGGATCATATTTATATGTAGGAGGAAATGTAATTGGTGCCTCTTCAAAACCACGTAAAACAGCTCCTTCACTAAGAATTGTTTTTAATTGATCTTTGTGCAAATTTACAGGTAATTGTTGTGGAAAGCATGCATCTGTGACCCATTGAATAACTTCCTCTCTTGGCTGAGCTAGCCGAAAGTTTAAATCACCACACCAAAATACACAGTCAAAATTTTGAGTTACATCTAAAAACATAATATTCATTCAATATTTTTATAATATAAGCTTATGTAATACAATGTTTTTATAATACAACAATAGTAATATACATTTATATATCCACACCTTTGCTTTTATGTCTCGTAGGTAACTCCTTAGGAAGATCAAGATTTCTAACTATTCTTTTAATATCATTTACCCTTTCTTTAACTTTATCTTGATGTGCGGTTAAATGTGCAGTAACAAACAGAAAACTTGTGCCAAATAACATTAAAGCTATAGCTACTGCTCCTTTTGTTCTAAAAGCAGTTCCTGTCCTGGTTGAAAAGCTAGCATCTTCATGGATGGAACAGAACCAAATTAGATCTCTTCTTAAGAAAAGTGCAAGATGTAGTGTTCCTAAACCAGTACTACAGAGTAGTACGTGAGAAGGACCAAGAGTTTCTTGCAAAGCTGCCTCCCATTCACTCCGCTCAGAACAAGATTCTTGTGTTCCAATTGCTAATAGGTCTGGAACAGTTTCTATATCTGAAGGTAACATAAAATCATTCAATTCTTTTGGTGGATTCTGTCCATTCATATTCCATGTTCCAATAAAAATTTTCAGTTCGCGATTTGGTAGTACTTTTTCAAGTTCTACTGGTCCAAGTAGTGAATTTGCAGCAATCCTACCATGAAGGAAATTTCTATAGCAAAAAATCATAACACATTTACAAAGACAAAGACAAGTACAAAATTAAAACTTTATTAAAATTTATAAACCTTTCTCGTGCTTTTTGTGTAGGAATTAGATTAAGAACTTGAGCAGCTAGTAATGCTTGTTTTGCTAAACTGTCCATAGATGCTCCAGTTTGAGATTGATGACGCTCTTTTTTTTTTGACAATGCATCATGAGATGTAGAACGTGGTTTAAGCTGAACAGGTGCACTTTTTATAGATTCTGGACTTGAATGTCTCATAGAATTTGTTGGTGAATTTCCTACTAAATTATCCACAGATCGCCTATGAATTAGTCTTTGCCTTAAATATGTAGGAACACTTGGAGAAATAGATCCAGAGGATGAATTTTCACCTAGAACATCAAAGTAATATAAAATTATGTAGAACTATATGGAAACCTTTTAGGAAAATACAAAATTCAGGTAACACATATGTATTTTAAAGTAATGTCTTGAAGAAATGAAGTTAATATTAGAAAATAGAATGATAAAGGATATTACAACTTGTATCTGTAATGAAACTAAATTGGTTCAATTGCCAGTTATTGTATTCTTGATACTGACACAGTTATTCAGAAATTAGCAAGAATGTGATTCATTTGAAATATTATAATCAAATATTTTATTCTTTTCTCAAGAGACATATCTTATGTAATTAAATATAGTATTGATATATGATTACATATATGAACAAGATTAAAGTCCTTTTAAGATGGAAAATCTTGTCTTTAAATATATATAGAAGTATTATAAAATTTATATTAAAAAATTTATTTTTGTATATATAATATAACATAATATAAATTTTCTTGGAAAAAAATCCAAAATAATTACCTCGGAGGTTTTTAATCTACACAATATTAATGTCCTTAATAAATGTCTATGTTATTAATAATTTCATAGTTCAGGTATTGAAACTTTTTTAAGTGGCCAAATAGAAGAAATAATGTAACATTTATATATTAATAAAATAAAAATGTTTGAAGAAGCATGAGAATCAAATTTTAAGCAGCAGGTATATTTCATTTGTTTTATTATACCTTCTTTTCCTGGTCTTTCAGTATTGTTAGTTTCATGGTATTGAACCATACTGTAAACATCAAAAGGATTGTAGAACATCCGTTCCATTTCCAAGAAGAAATAAGTGATATATTTTCCTTTTGTAAAATATTCGTCCTTGAAGCTTTTTTCATTTCTTTCATAATCAATTAAAAGTTCATTTTCATCTTCTGATGATTCCTCAAATGAATCTTCTGTTGACTCTGCAGAGAAATCACTATCTTCACTATTTTTTTGTGACATTATGCTTTTTTCTTTTAGTAAAAATTTATGTGTATTTTGTAAATTTTTTATAGTGCCAGAATATGGTACTAAATTTGATATTTTGGCAAAATCAGAATGTGATACTGAATTTGCAATTTTTGAAAAAGAATCAGAATAGTTTGAAGAATCATTTTTATTTTGTAGATATACATTTTTTATATTATAATCTTCATTTAAAAATGCAATTTTCTTATCTAAATTTCTATCTGAACCACATTTATATCCTTTTTCATCCTGTTCTATATTAATATTTGTTGCACTGAATGCCTTCCTATGTTTTTGGATGTTTAATATATTTGTACATAAGTTATTAGGATATAAATTATCATTTTGTTTAGAACTTTGAGTTATATTTTCATATGATGTCACTTTATTGTTTTTAAAATGTTGATTGTCACATGAATTTTTAATACCAATTTTATGTTTATTATTTTCTCTACTGTCAAAATTTATGTCAACATTAATATCATGCTGCAGTTTAGATGTATCTTCTTTTTCACAACTAACATTATGAGATTTAGTATTTAAATTTTCAGTACATTTTTCAGAAGCTTCTCCAAATTTTAATTTTTGCTTTGTTTCTCTCTCTAGTTTGCCACTTTTATTTCGTTTAAATGCTTTAAACAATTTATTAAAAAAAGAAGTTTTCTTTGCTTTATTACTTGGATTAGACATGCTTAAAACATAATATTTAACACTATGCTTCAGATACGTTTTTATGCCAAAGATCAGGTACTAACTGACTGTCAATAAGAACTATGTCTCCTTGCATAAACACATTAGAAGCAATCTTTGCAGGTATTAGTGTAGAAAAAGATATGGTGGGGATGTGCAAGGTCACTACCTCATTCAGTCAAATTACAGATTTGATAAAAAGAGAAACATTATAAGGAATGTATTGGTTAGTGTTATATATATCTTAATTACCCTTAAACAGCTAATAAATAAAAAAATTATTTAGGGGAAACAATTAAATAATCAGTTAATAATTGCTTAAATAATTAAACATCATTTAAGGAATTGACAAACAATTTTTAAATTTATGAACCTAATATATCATCATTAAAATTGATATAATTTGAAAACTGTTTAATTTTTAATGAAACTAATTCTTACCTTCAATAAATGTACTTTGTCGTTCTTTGCCCGTAAAAACACTATTCCTTCCTACATTTTCTTCAACATTGTGCGTACTACTTGCTATATACATCTCCTCCTTCTCTATCGTCACATCTGTTTGACAATTCCCATTAGCAGAAGCTATCTCAGATTTAACAGATGTGTGGCTTAACGTAGTTGGAGATAATCTACTGACAGTCAAACTTTGTGGCGGTGTTCTGCTGCGTTCAGTCATTGCACAGCATAATGAAAGTTTTGTACTAGTATGAGATCCATGTTGTGAATTTTCCAGTTTAGAATTTTTATTTGAATCACCATCTTTGTAAGATGTCTCCAAACATCCAACTTTGGTCTTTTTATTCATAAGCATACGGCAAAGAGATTTTTTCTTTTGCTTTGACTTAGGGGAAATATCTGCCTTAGTATTTGTCACGTTAGATACATCAGCTTCTTCACACTGCTCCATGGTATTTGAAATTTTATATTTTGAACACCATGTAATTAATCCACTATCAATGAATAGAGTACTTTATTATTGCATGAAAAGTTTAACGAAGTCAATCTATCATACATGTGACTATTAAATAAATCAAAACATAAGCATTTGTAATTTTGTTATATAATTATAATTATTCTTCTTCTAATATGAGTTCATATATAAATAAAAATTTTTTTAATGTTTATGCTCATTTGTAGATAAGTACTTGCATATATATAGTTCTTATATGAACAGTGTGCAATTATATCACTAATAATATATATTTTATTGTATAATATAGACTAGAATCATAAAACAAGATATTTATCTTGTTAACATCTATAGCACTTTGTTATGTTTATGTCTTTGGCATATTTCTCATATTTAAAGAAATACATTTAATGTTACATTAATAAATAATTGCACTTCAAATATAATAAATTTAACACTTTCATATCGAATAATTTAGGTAGAATATTTAGAGTGAATGTAAATAATACATATTTGTAAGTATAATATTTAGGATGACTATTTAGTTTCTTGATGTTTTCCCTTAGGCATAACATTCATTTTCTTTGCACATGAATATCATTTCATAATTATTCGAAGGAACTTGTAGATGTATATATGTATCTTTCAATTTTGTTGTTACAAATCAAATTCGATAGAAAGACATTGTGCTCATTGAAAGTCAGAGGTTAATTAGACTCAAGTTGTATACACTTTTCTTGTATTATTACGAAATTCACTTTGACTTTGAATCTCACATTGACTATACATCTATACATTGACACGTCATTCACGCTAAAATCCATAACAAACTGCATTCTGATTGAAAATACTTGAAGAACGACGATTAACTCTAACTTCCGCCTCCATGTTTAAATAGAAAGTTAAACAAAATACGTAACATCTATGTTATATTTTCAAAAATTCATATAAACTTCGCTATAATTATCATTTTAGCGATAAATTGTTCTTATTTTCGGTAAAGCTCTCACAAATCCAAATACCGTATCTCTTCACCGCTTCGGCGCTGATTTCTGAACTTGCGCAGCTGTCAATTAAGCAGACGACAATATTACCATATTACAATACTTTCTATAAAATTTCATATTTTACCGACTAATATTCAGTCTAAACAATATACTGAAATAAGAAATTTCTGATATTTTAGAAAATGTATAATGATTACTTGAAAAAATGATATTTCTTGACCAGTTAAAAGAATAACTGTCAGAGCGAGCAGACGACATTCATTGGCGCCTCACTGTTGGCAAAAACCATCTGTGACGCAATATACTTCATGTACTCGATATACATATGTAAGTATACGAATATATGTAGTAAGTACTTGGTTGGCTCATTTGGCGGGTTGCGTCACTATAATGTTTGTTTACGTGACGATAAGTGTACGTTTAAAGAAATGCGAATACACAGTTAAATTATGCTAGAAGATACATATATGTTCAACTAGAATAATTATTTGATTGTAAACAAAAAAAGGCAGCTGTTTATTTAAACTTTATAATTTTCTGTTTTGCAAGTCGATCGTGTAAATAACACATAATTGTAAATATAAGCAAATAATCGTGTGCGATTAACGAGGAATAGTGTAAAGTAAATATTTAAATGTCGATGATCGCGGTTATTGTAAAAACGATCATTTATATAAATTTATGTTCGTGTCAAAGAAGATTCCAGAAAGACGCAGAAGCGGTATTATACACATGTAGGGAATAAATGTTTGCATACAAGTACATTGCCGCGTTTTCCAAACATTCGTTGAATGTTATTCATTGACGAAAGCGATGTAATATAGATTCATCCATCATTGAGACTTGATTATAGTGAATTTTCTACAGAACTAGATATCGGATACAAAGCATTTTAATAAATATACGAACAAAGTAGTAAAAGAAATGCCACGGCATGGTAAGTAATATTAATGACTTGATTGTGGCTATAATATTTATTAGACTCTACAATATATTCATATTCATATGACTAATAATAAATGTATTAAACATCTTTAAAATCATTTTTACAACAAATTTTGACCGTAATAAATATTAGGAAAGTAAAAATAATTCATGTACGAAAAACTGTTGTAAATAATGGAAGAATAATTTCTAAATATATGTATGTGTATAGTATACACGAAATTTTTAGAAAGAAGAATAATGCATACAACATAAGTCTACGTCAATAACAATTCTAGTCCTTAACAATAACTTGAGTGAAATATGTTTTGTCTCTTTTAAGTTATGATCACTGATTACGTTTTTCAACTAAAATTTATACACGCGCTTCTACATGGCGTACCAAATACATGGGCAGAATTCTAATGAAAGAAAATTTCATAGATATAGATTGCGAATGTGGGCGGTGTTAAGGGTGGCTTCAAATTTTCAATCACTTTTTACGATGTTAACAATAATTATAATATCAACAGTATCAACAGAAAACGCGATAGAAAGTGCATTTAAACGTAAAATTAGTATTTAAACAACTATAATTATATGCATTTCACATACTATTGCGAAAAATGTTTTAAAAATCATGTAATCTTCTTTTCGTGTATAATTTTGACAAATAAATAGATATTAACTTAGATGATAACACTAGCAGTGCAATATTTTTGGTAACATTTCTTTTAACAAATGAGTTCAAAATACCTATGTATATTTTATACAATCAACTTCGCTAAACAATTTGCAGTAGACTACATCTAAAAGATTATGAACAAGTAGGAATACATTTTTGAATTGATATCCATTACTAAATATTCCGATAATTGTATGAAAAAAAATAATATTGTGAAAAAGATTGTACATATACGAGGAAGAACGTGTATGACTGTGAACGGGCGAGCGAGAAGGGTTAACAAAAGAGAGAATGGGATAGAAACGTAATTCGCGCCGCCACCGCAAGGTGTCAGCATTGCATGCGGCTCGCTCGCTAGCGGCCACCATTGTTGAAATTCTGCTTTGGTTGATGCCCCGACAATTTTTTGACGGAAAATCGTAAATTCGCCAGCCCCTGGCAAGGGCCCTGTGCGGAAGGTGCGTATCCCGCGGTAATCCTTGGATCATGGCTCCACTATAGCTACCGTCAGTAGCATGTTTAGCGATAAAAAAGGGCCCACCGGGGAAAGCCAGTGAAATCGAGTGTGCCCATCGATTTACGCGAAAGAAAGAGGCACCCATGTCCGTGTCGTACGTCTTGTCGGGGTGTTGGTGTTGTGTGCGCTGCCTGAATTGTGCATGGTACGTGCGTGCATGCGTGCCGGTACAATGCAACGCGTCTGTCCTCGCGCACCATGCAATCTGTCGATCTTAGATTCTGTTATCCGAAGTGAACGAAACGTTCGATTATCCGAGTGTCCCCGAGAGTGTGAGATATTTGGGCGTCAGGTAGAGATTGTACGAATAATTTGGAAATTTTGAATATATAAGTACACGTTGTTCCGCGTGTCGGCAACACGCGACTCGCGCGTTATCGACGATACCGTCCAGGTGCGGGGAAACACTACATCCCTGCTTCGGTGTTTCGTTAGTGTCTCTGTGTGCGTGTGCGGTATCCACGGGGTTAGATGTCTTCTTTCCACGCTTTGCACGTTGTGCGTGCATAGGCGTGTGCATACGCGAACGCACGTCATTCATACATGTATGCATACGTGCGCTCCTGTGTATTTTCCATGGGTGTATATGCGCGGCTTGGTTAACGTGTTTCATTCGTATATATGCGTGCTCTGGTGCGGTACGTCTACGCACACTGCATGCCATCGGAATTCACGAAAAAGTACATGAACTGTAATCCTGCTACCACGCCGTTGGATCAGCAAATCGAGATATACAGTGTTACACTCGCATGTCCATAGCTCCCCTCGTGGCTAAATCGTAACATCGGCTACGAAACACTTACAGTGTTATTCCTTGTATCGTGATTCTGTGCAATACTGTTAGAATTTCACATCGATATTATTGTGACAGTTCCTTTCAAAGATATAACGCTCGATCCATCATGAGAAATTTCCAAAATAAACTGAGCTTGGTGCTTCTTGAATTTTTTCATATATCAACGTTGACACCCTGACAAATACTGTGATTTTTTATCATCATCCTTAATCTTCGTTCATAGATATCGAATCTTTTGTGTTTTATGGATTTTACGTCCTTTATTGTTTAAATATTGTGGAGGGTTACTTCCAATTATGTGTCCTATTTGTTGAACAAGTAGATATGTTTGTCCTTTAAATTACTCTTGTGAACTTTTCATGTTGGGATTATATTATTAGTGTAATGTATCGTATTTTAATACAAATACCTTAAAATTATTGATAATGTGACATTCACTCATAATACTGGAGGTTGTAAAAATATAAGATAAACACCAGTTAAAGATGTAAACATTGAAACTACAAACCTTGTTGCAAAAAGGATTTGCGCTTTGTGAAATATGTGGGTTACATAGAAATATTTTAACAGAAAAGATTAATCTTCTTTTTGCTTAGTATTAAGTCAATCAAAAATTTATACAATTGTATAAAGAAATATTCATTGCCAATAATACTTATGTTTATATTTGTTTCACTATTAATACCACTGGAATATTTTAATTTTATATCAATTACAGCTTAACAAGATGTAAACATTCAGTTATTTATTAGTATAAAATAAACTAGTTTAAACTAAGTTAGTTGAAAATAAACTAGTTTATTTAAATATTTTCTTATAATACTTTCAGAAATAGAAAATATTTGTAATTGCACATTATAAGGCAGAAGAATTAACTTCCAATTTATATAATTCATTAAATAATTATCAATGTTATTAATATGTACATAATATTAATGAGCAAAGAGTAAATATTTTAGAGCAGCATTATGACGTGAATTGTCAAAACACATGAATTGTTCCTATCAATAGTAAATGTAATTTTTGACACTTTCTTCACATAACTTATTTCATAGACAAAAAATTATTTTAATTTTTCAAGTTTATTTGAAACTATCTATAATTGTAATCATAGTTTTCAATGAACATGTTTGTTTACAGGGCCATTTATATTTGGAGTTGCGCCAAAATGGGCGCTATCAAATAATTTCATGCAGTGGGATTACATACAAGAATTGGTAGCACATGGTGGTGTGCCTGACGTTTATAATTTACGTCACAAGGAAGAAAATATAAGTGTGTCGGATTTAGATTTAACTTATGTTAATCAATTTATAAACTTCATACAATCAACAAACAATAAAAAGATTGTAGATTCTGATATACAGAAGGGAACAGTTGATAAATGCTTATCAGAATTTTTAGAGCCTGTGCTTAAAAATCACAAGGAAAGTTATAGTACCTGTCACAGTGACGATAGTAAAATAAAACCATCTAATTTATTGGATACTAACCAAACCATAGGCACCTACTTATTTTGCAAAGATAAAAGCGAAAATTTATCTGAAACAAAGAAGAAAATTGATCATCATCATAAAATTATTGATTGTGTTCCTTGCTTGTCAGAACAATCAAACATACAAAATATTACACAGTACAAGACATTGTCTAAAATTTTGGAGCAGTATAAAAATATTTATAATCTTTGTGCTTCTGAAGAAGACAAGCCACTTAATTTAGTAAAAAACTTGGAAGATAATAAAGGCTGTTGTAACAAACAAAGTGAAGATAAAAAGAAGCTGTGCAATTTTACAGATATAAAAGTATCTTTAAAGGACTGTGCCATTTTAGATCGAGCAAATCATTCCTGTAATATAGAAAATTGCTACAACACAAAGTACAAGGAAATAGACTATGGTTTATTAAAATTCTCAGATCTAGATGATTTATCTCCTAAATTAAAAATTGATAAAACGTTACTTAAAGCTTCAAAACCTAAAATATGTAAAAATTTAGAAACAAAGTTAAATTGTGTACCAAATAAATACTTAGAACAAGAAAGTACTCTCGCTCTTAATAAATATTTGACTAATAAAACTTCAGTGTTTTTGCGTGAGAGGAAGAATACAAATCTTTCTTTTCTAAATTCATCTCTGAATGTCAAAGATACAAGTATTAAAAGTGAATCTTGTTCAGACGAACAGATAAATAAGTCAAAGAACTCGTATTTTGTAAATACCTGCAAACCAACATTAAGTAATTGGGAAGATTTCGAAATGTCAGGACAATATCCAGGTCATAGCCGACCTCCGGTTGGCACACCTCCACCTCAGACAGTTTGGAATCATCTTACAATGGCACAAAGTCAAGGTAATACCTCTCT